TTCGAGGCGAGCCATAATTAGATAACTCACCATGAATGGCCCTCATAAAACTAGTTAGAAACCTTCTAAGCTTAATAATGCAAACGTTGAGGCGCGCGCGCCAAATAAAATCATAAACGCGTGGCCCTCTTTTGATTATTTCCTTTTTTTAAAAATACTTAGAATTCGAGGCGTGCCATTTAGCGGCATTTTTCATTGGCCCTTGCAAAGTTAACAACGCGTTAGTGCTTTAGGCGTGCGTTATTTAATAATACTACCTTCCTAATCTCGGGTGTTGCATCATGCGACCCAAATCCAAATCTTTAAATGTTGAATAAAATAGTTTCGGATTCGGGTGCATTTCATGTTGACACGATCCAAAGACATGTTTTAACGACGTTCAATCGTTCCTAAAAATAATTTAAAAGCGGCTAATTAGTTAAAAAAATACCATAGGCTAAAAACAATGTATTAAAATCAGATAATAGGCCAAGTTATGATAGTTTAAAGCGACCGTGCTAGAACCACGGAATTCCGGGGTGCCTAACACCCCCCGGGTTAACAGAATTCCATAGTCAGAATTTTCTGGTTCGCAGGACTTCAAAAGAAAAGTCGAAATTTCCTCGATTTGGGGATTAAAAATAAGACCGGTGACTTGCGGACACCAAATAAAACTATCCCAAGTGGCAACTCTGATAAATAAATAATTCATTTCGAATAATGTCACTTAAAGTGGAAAAACTCCTTTATATACTATCCTTCAGGGTGGTGAGTAAAAAAGGAGTGTGACAAAGTGGAACATCCTGTAGCTCATGTTCACACTCAAAAATGGCCTTGCAAAGTCTTTAATTAAAACGTCTGCAATTGATATAGCAAGACCGTTACTCATGAAAATGAGGTTGCCCACTTCTGTTTGGGGTTCACGTCATTTTTTCATGCATCAATGCTAGTTTCGTCTCAGACCGGACAAATTATCATAAATATTTTCCGTTGCAATTAGTTTGGGTCATTGAAACCTAATATATCCCCATTTAAGAATTTTTGTGATTGCGCAGCATATGTGCCTGTAGCATCTCCATATCGCACCAAAATTGGGGCCCCCAAATAAGGTTAGGAATAAATTTAACGGAAAGATTTGTTTCACTGCACATTTGCACACTGTCGATTCGATGAGACACTTTTCCCCAAAATTCAGGGGGAGAAAAATGGTGAAACCAAACGGGAAATTTTGTGGAAAAATCCAACATTGTCCTCATCTTGATCCACGTGCCTCTATTTGTGAAAAAAGAGGTGCAAAAGATTATCTCTTTTGAAAAAAAATAGCAAATCAAATGCCAAATGCATTTACGGATCTGAAAAAGGATAATAAAATCACATATCCCTGCAGAGAATATTTCAATCCGTATTGATGCTCCCTGTTGGACAATCTTTCTAGTGTCATAGCTAATGAGTCAAAACACGCCTAAAACGGTGCAGGACCATTAGGTTCTTAAGGATCGAAATCCTAGAAAAAAAGGAAAACAAATGATCAAGATGACACTTACGAAAGAGTCTCATGAAGAAATCCACGATTTAACAAATCCTGATATTTTTGAGGAATCACTGAGCCTGAGACTCAAGGAAAATAAGGAAAACTATCAATAAATCCAATTGATTACTGAGACAAATTTGAATCGATTGGATATAGTGGTGGATTATGTCTTTGCATATAATGTTGCATCTAGCATTATGCAAGAAAGTGAGGATCTTGAACCTCAATCTGTTGGAGAATGTCGATCAAAGACTTGATTGGCAAAATAGCCAAGAAGGCAATCCAACTAGAGTTGAAATACACTTGCAAAACTTGAAGTTTTGGCCTGTAGTAAAACGTGGTAAAGCCTGTTGGCTATAAATGGTTCTTTGTACGCAAAAAGGAACCGAAAAAAATGAGGTACAAAGATATAAGGCATGCTGCCTTGTTGCATAAGGATTTTTAACAAAGGGCCTGGTGTCGATTATGAAGAGACATATTCACCCGTTATGGACGCTAATAACGTTCCGTTATCGTCATTAATTTTTGCTGTCCATAAAAAAGTCTTGACATGAATTTAATGGATGTGGTTACCGCCTTACCTTTATGGCTCACTTGATAATGAGATATACATGAAAATTCCCGAGGGATTTAAAATGACTAATGCACATAACTCAAAGTCTCGGAAAATGTTTTTCAATCAAATTGCAAAGATCTTTGTATTGGTCTAAAGCAATCAGGACGAATGTGTTATTAATCGCCTTAGTGGAGTAATTTATAAAAGAAGGTTATATAAATGATGCCATTTGTCCATGTGTTTTTATAAAGAAAACAACATCGGAATTTATTGTACTTGCCGTATATGTTGATGACATAAACCTTATTGGAACTCCTATAGAACTCCAAAAGGCAATTGATTATTTAAAGAAGGAATTCGAAATGAAAGTCTCGGAAAGACAAAATTATGTCTTGGTTTGCAAATTGAACATTTGGCAAACGGAATTTTTGTTCATCAATTTGCCTACGTAGAAAAGGTATTGAAACGGTTTTACATGGATGGAGCACATCCATTAAGTACTCCGATGGTTGTTCGATCACTTGATGTGAATAAGGATCCATTCCGACCTCAAGAAAAGAATGAAGAGCTACTTGGTCCTGAAGTACCATATCTTAGTGCAATTGGTGCACTAATGTATCTTGCTAATACTACAAGACCTGACATAACCTTTTCAGTTAATGTCTTAGCAAGATATAGCTCTGCTCCTACAAGGAGACATTGGAATGGAATCAAACACATATTGCAGTATCTAAAAGGGACTACCGATATGGGCTTATTTTATGGCAATAATTGCAGTCCCGATCTTGTTGGTTATGCCGATGCTGGGTATTTATCTGACCCATACAAGGCTCGGTCTCAAACAGGTTATGTGTTTACCTATGGAGGCGCTCCCATATCTTGGCGATCGACTAAGCAATCAATTGTGGTTACCTCATCTAATCATGCTGAGATAATTGCTATTCATGAAGCAAGTCGAGAATGTGTGTGGTTGAGGTCTATAATACATCTTATACGAGACAAATGTGGTTTAAAATGTGACAAACTACCCACAATTTTGTATGAAGACAATGCATCATGCATAGCCCGATTGAAGAGAGGATTCATAAAAGGAGATAGGACAAAGCACATTTTACCAAAGTTATTTTTTACTCATGATCTTCAAAAGAATGGTGATATCAATGTGCAACAAATCCGTCCAAGTGATAATATGGCTGATTTGTTCACAAAGTCTCTACCGACGTCAACCTTCAAGAAGCTAGTGTACAAGATCGGGATGTGAAGGCTCAAGGATGTGAATTGATGCTCTCATCAGGGGGAGTTAATACGCGTTGCACTCTTTTTCCCTTACAAGATTTTGTCCCACTGGGTTTTCCTTGCAAGGTATTTAACGAGGCAATCAAAAGGCGTATTATTAAACATGTGTACTCTTTTTTACTTTACTAGAATTTTTTCCCCACTGGGTTTTATTTTAGTTAAGGTTTTACCGAGGCACATTATCTGTTGAATAGACATTCAAGGGGGAGTGTTATAAATAGAATTTTATTTATGGTGAATGTCTATATTTAGAGAGATTCTAGAGTTTATTACTTAGTGGCTAAGTCACCCTCTCCCTATAAATAGAGGGTTCTATTTCATTGTAATTCATCCCAAAATCCAATAAGAATTCCCTCTCTCTCCCTCTCTGCAATATTGTTCTTCTTCTTTTATTGTTTTATTACATCACCCCTCTTCTCATCATTAATTGATTTAATCAAAAGGCTCAATACTTTTTGATCAAACACGTATCATTACTATTGTTATATACCCTACCAAACGACCCTTAGTCTTTCTATTCAAAGGTCAACAAAGACATTAGTTCTTGTATTTTTGTGAAGGAATGAGACACATACTTAATGAAAAGTTCCATTTCTCCAAATAAACACGTTTTGACGAAAGGACATATGTATTCGAAAAGACGTGCCTTTTTGAGGTTTACTATTGTGAATACGTCCAATTTATCAATTGATCATCACAAAGACTAAGTATTTATTTCAGCAACATTCAAGTCCCAAAATTGCTACAAAACATATTTCAACATCAACATTCAAGTCCCAAAACTTCACAAAATTGCTGGAAAAGCAGGTATTCGATTGTGAATGCTAGCAAGTAGAGCATGCCGTTTTTATATTTACTAAAATTATTTTAGAGGTAGAGCATGCAGTTATGCTTGCTAAAAATAAGATGTCGCCTTAATGGTGTTGCATAAATATATTGATTGATTCATTTTCAATAGGGTGAGCCAGTAACTGGTTGGCCACCAATTACCTTGAGAGTTGTGTACAAGAATTCCAGCTGGATACTTTGACTAATTGTTTGTCCCCACGTAACAAAATTAGCAAATTAGGCATCGCTAATGGTTATAGTGGCCCTAGTTTCCTTACAAAAATATTTTTCTATTGCACTTTGAATCTCAAAGTAACTTTACTTATGTGGAAAGAATAAGTTATATTTAAATAAATACTTTTATAGAAACTCAAAATTAAAATGTTAAAATTTTGCAAGCAATGCCAGTGTTCTCGTGAGAAGTTTTATTGTTTGTCTCACACAACTAAGTGAGGCTCCTTTTTGTCTCACAAATTTGTGGACCCCAATCTTACACTTTTGGGTCCACGAAAATCTATGTCCACAAAACTGTGAGACAAAAAAAATACCTCATGCAACTAGTGTCAGTTGTACGAGACACAAAATAAAATTTTCCGTACTCTCATTGCGTGGATCAATATTGGTGAAAAAGAAAAACAAAACAAAATATTGAATTGAGTTTTAGTGGAAGTACAACAGTACACACCTCCCCATGCCTTCTCCAGTCGTCTCTTTCAATGCTCTCTGTCCCCTACTCGTCTAACACCCCAGCTGTTTATATTTACTTAGTATGAGTAAGTATTATTTTTCTTTATCTTTTGAATTTTTTTAAAAAAAATGGAAATAATTTTGTGCACCGGAAAGGAGGGGGTAGAGGTGGAATCCAAGGAATTAATAGCAGCAGAAAATGCAGATTGCGGAATCGTTTTATGGTTTGGTCCTGCCTACAACACCTAATCCATGACTAACTTCATTTTTGACTCTGCTAATTTTGTCTAAATCTTTTCTCCTAGATATGTGTTTAATTAATTATATATTTATACTAAGTACTAATATTTTTCTCACGTACGTCACACCCTAGATTGTTGACTCTAATTTTCTTTTGAATTCAATATGCGTTTCCACATTTCTGGTGAGCTTGAAAAGAAAATGGGATGCATTTACTAGTAAGTCCCCTCTTGACATATTACACAACTTGTCTACATAAAGCTAAGCCCAGCGAGGATTGAGCTATACTCAACTTTCTTTTTCTCCCATTTTCTACTCTCTTCCTAGCTGTTATTTCGAGGTACTAAAAAGTCCAAAATAAGAAAAAAAAAATATAATGGGAGATATATTGAACCAAGAACAAATTGTTGAATTGCAAGAAGCTTTCAGTCTATTTGACAGAGATGGAGATGGTAATTACTAGTCTCTTAATTTTTCCTTTATGTCATTCTTATTGTTTTTTGTTTTGAATTATAGTAAGTTGTGACATTGTGGTCTTTCAATGAATTCCATGTAACAGGTTGCATTACAGTCGAAGAATTAGCGACAGTAATAAGGTCACTAGATCAAAATCCAACAGAGGAAGAGCTGCAGGATATGATAACCGAAGTTGATTCAGATGGGAATGGAACCATTGAATTCACTGAATTCTTGAACCTTATGGCCAAGAAAATGAAGGTAAATTGAACCAAAGAATTAGTTATAAGGTGTTTTTAAATCTTGATTATTATATAGATTTTTGCAACTTACTTATGACACTTGGAACAAATTATCTCTGTTATCCATATATATGCATGAGAAAAAAGTAGCTCTAATTAGGGGTTATATTCTTGTTATTTCATAAACAGGACACTGATGCTGAGGAAGAACTTAAAGAGGCTTTCAAGGTGTTCGACAAAGATCAAAATGGTTATATATCTGCTAACGAGGTCAGTCTTTGTCCAAATTAAATCAACTTTTAACTATGGTTATAGTTCTATGACGACTTAATTCCGTGAATTCACCTATAAATTTACTACTACTTTTTAGCTCTAATTATATATCTATACATATTTTAAAAATTAAAATGTATGTAATATAAATCACATTCTTTCTAGGTTGACTTTGCTGAACAAACCACAGACTTGTTATCATTTGAATAGATGTTGAATCACGCAACATATTAAAATAGCTTGTCTAATGTGAAATTACATTCCAAAAGAAGTAAACGGAAAGGTAAAACCTTTTATTTTATTTTTATCGTAACTTAATTGTTGTTTTGAATAAATTTAATTATCATGTCATTCTATTTTAATTTCTTCTAATATGCTGTAAAATATCCATGTTCTAATCCATATCAAATACTCTTATAATCACTAGATCTGTTTCTAGTCAATCGTGTACGGCCGGTACTCATATTGTTGACGCGGACCAATCAAAAAGAAAACGTTCTCTTTAAATAAATAACAAAGAACTACATATACTCAATGGATATATTAAAAATAAATTCATTCTTGTCACAACTAATAATAGGGTTTAGTGGAAGGAATTTAGTCAACCACTGGCTGCTAAAGGCTTGACACGTGAATTGATCTGTCATTATAATAAAATATTCTTATTTATACAGTTGTTTCAAACATGTCTCTAAACCGATCTTTTCGTCCAACGAATTTTTCCATAGTTCACACTGAGCAATGCACTTGCTCTTTTGACTTTCTTTTTTAAGTTTAATTAACTTTCAGGCAGGGGCAGCTCAATCATATTTCGGGCCTAAAGCTTTACTCAAAAATTTCAAACTCACACATTACAAAACAATCTCTTTAGTCTTTGGATCCACACTAACTTCTACTAATTTCAATAAAGTCTCATTTGTCGAGTTTGAAATCTTGTTGCTTTATACTTTCAATATGACTTTTCCAACGTGCTTGTAGTTGTGATGATGATTTAAGTATTAGACTAGGTGCACTATCTTTTTAAATTTTTTATCGCTTAGTATAGAAGGAGAAAACAGTGAATATTTACGTTGTACTACTCCATGGAATAATACAGCTTTCGAACAAGATAAATATGTCATAACGTACGAATTTTAGATTATAACAACCACATGATGTATAAAATGCTCTAGAATTTATATCGAATAGTCTTTTTTGCACTTTCTTGGTGTTTTTCCTTCGTATTAGATCTCAAAAAAAGGTTCTCCTATACGGCTATACTCGAAAGACTATTCTTATAAACGGAAGTAATACCTAACCGTCAAAATCATCATTAAAAAGAAAATTTCTTTTCCTTTTTTTGATAAAAATATTGTGTTTTTCATCAGAAGTACTCAATGTATAAAGTAAAATAAATTCATTACTAGAAAATATGGGGCCTTCATAATTTTGGGGCCTAAGGCCTTTAATTTAGCTGCCTTATGCTAAAGCCGGCCCTGCTTTCTGGGTTAAATAGAGGAAATTATAAACAAGATATTGAATTAATAAATTTTTTGTTTGATCCTATGCAGCTGAGGCATGTAATGATCAATTTAGGGGAGAAACTAACAGATGAAGAGGTTGAGCAGATGATTAAAGAAGCAGATTTGGATGGTGATGGTCAAGTCAACTTTGATGAATTTGTGAAAATGATGATGAACGTTGGATAGAACTTAGAAGCGCAAAAACATTAATTAAAATTCATAATTCCTTTCTTTATTCTTTTCAGGTGGCCTTATTATTGTTCTTTTATCATTTATTTAATTTTTGTTAACTCGTCAACGTACCAACAAAGACATTGTAGGATGATTTGATTGTTAGTCTCTGAAATTGTACTCTTTTTTTTGTTAAATTTGTAATTCTTTCAATTTTAGTAGAAGTGAAATCAATTTGTTGGAAAAATAATTTGGAGTACTAAGTTTCTACATCTCCTAGTGGGTGGTGCCTGGAACTTATTCATAATGATGCTTGGATATAACATCATTTCTTTCTTTGATGATCAATCTCAAATGCTAATACTTGATAGTCCGTTGGATGTATTAAGGTATCTCTGCACAAATAACTGGCCAAATTTATTCTTTACTTTTCCTAGCCGGTATGTATAATAGATTATACACAGTTAAACATATATTTTACATCTATCAGCTATATTTAGAGCAGTAATCACTCAAAAGCAAACCATATTCAAATGATAGAAAACACATATGTTGTTTAACTCAATGAATTGTTGTTGTGCAACAGATGAAACTGCTGAAGACAGTTCCTTTGGCGGTAAAATCTTTGAGTCTGTCTCTGATTTGGAATCACCATCTTCTCCAGTTTCAACATGCCCAAAATTGGAGCTTTTGAAATCTCAGAATCACTTAATTTCATAATAGTCTTATCTTCAACTGCCACAGCCTCATAGTTTCATTCTCTCATTGTTGAGTTCAAGAGTTTAGCACGGGAGCCTAACGGTAAGCTTCTTGTTGAGTCGTGTTTAGGGGAGAACTTTACGGGGCAAGTGTTAGTGTGTCACTTGTATTTTCCTCTTTGTGAGGTTGTTCTCTCGATATTTTGTACTCTCTTTTATTATAGTGGATTGCTCATATCCGCTGTGGACGTAGGTCAGTTGACGAACCACGTTCAATGTTTATGTCTCTTTTGGTATATTTCTCTTTTATTGTCTGATTTATCGTCGTTCAAGTGTTACTTTACTAGCTTATGCATGACACCTGATTATTTCGGTCATAACATTTGCCACATTCATTACATAATCCTCCTTAATTATGTTTGAAGGCGCTGCATCATCGATCTGCAATTCATGAATTGCCTCCTCAAAGGACTCAGTATTGTTAAGATCACAATTATTCGCTGCTTTTTCTGATTGATTTGGTAGCATATTAGTCTCGAGTAAGATCCACACATTTGTCTTCTGGCTCAGTATTTGTTTAAAAGGAATTGATTGGAATAATCTGTGGAGCATCTTCAGACTGCGCGCCTGTAGTAGCTCTTTCGTTTGAATTCATGCCCATTGTTTCATCTCCTTCAGCATTGACCCCAAAACCATTTTCAACCTGATTTCCATCCCAAATGAGTTCATGCTTTTCCCCATTTGATCTGTGTGTTAAAGCTTCATTTTCTACCATAACCAAGAAATCTCTTTGATCATCACATCTGAAATAAAATTCTTGTCCGCCCGTGTGATTTCAGTATTGAAATGGTGTGCTTTGTTAGAATGAAGAAGAATTCATGGATTTCTCTAGAAGGAAACCCTAATCGAGTGTTCTAGAGAGAGGAAATTTCGGAGAATGAAATCTCTATTGTATTGAATAAAATGTCTCACTCTACAATGTAACCATTATTAGTCTATTTATACTAAACAATAAAAATGGCTATCTATTACATGTGTGATTATATACACAATAACATTACAAGACTTGTAAAGCTGTCATAGGTCCTGGGTCTATTTCCTCTTCAAATATGTATGGGCCTGTATGAGTTGCACTACTAGAAATCCGGGTTTTAGCGACCACAACAAGCGACCAACGTTTGTCTATTTATGCAAAATACCGACCAAAACCCGTCCAAACAGACTTGGTCGCTATTTTAGTGGTCGCTTTTGTATACCGACCAAAGTTGGTCGCAAAGGTAAAAGGACCAACTATGTAATTTAAAAAACATACCGACCAACTTTGGTCGGTAACATATTTTTATAATTTAATTTTACCGACCAAAGTTGGTCGGTGTATGTAAATTACGTTATATTATTAATTATTAAAATTTAAAGATTAGCTACCAAAGTTGGTCGGTAAATTAAAATATATATTTTATTTAAAAAATTAAAATTTAAAAATTAGCGACAAAAGTTGGTCGGTAAATGTGAAATCTAGGTAATCCTTGTTCATTAACCGACCAACTTTGGTCGGTAATTATTAATTTTTTATTTTTTTTAAGATTAAGCAACCAACTTTGGTCACTAATCAGAAGAATTTTTTTTTAAATTAAATACCGACCAACTTTGGTCGGTTTTTTGGGTTTTAATTTTGGCATAAAATGCCTGTTTTGGCAGCTACACCACCTGCCAGCATACCAAAATTCCTAAACAGGCATTTTATGCCAACAACAACAACAACAACAACAGCAACAACAACAATAACACAACAACAACAACACAATTCAATAAATACATTAAAACTAACAAATTAAAGTTCAATAGAACTAAAAAAAATCAAAAACCAAGTTAATACTTATTACAACTAGTTCAGAACCGGTTCTATTTATCTAGTTCAAAGTATATACAAGTCAAGGAGTATTTTGTACAACATCATCATCATCGTCTGATGAACTTTCATCTAAAAGATGGTATCCAGAAGGGTCTTGTGGAGGACGTGAAGAACGACCACGGGGAGGACGGGAGGAAGTCCCTATTCCTTGCATTTCACACTTATAGCGATGGAACTTTTTAGTAGGAAGCCCGTATACCTTCCACCATTTTGGACCGCCAACAGACTCCATCCATATTCTTTCAGCATCCTCGTCCGAAGGTTGGGCTGGCTCGCGCGATTCACCAGCTGGCTGAGTGCCGATGAATTGCTCCACGTTAGTTTGGTAGAGGCCCGGTCCTCGACCCATCTTTCTTGATCCATCTCTTTCTTCTTCTTTACAATATGCGTCTCCTTGAATAGCTCATCATGGTTCATTGGACGCCCCAACTTCTTTTTCTGAAAATAAATTAATTTAGTTAATAAACTGAATAGATATACTTTGAAAATTAAAATAATTTAAGCAATTACGTACCAATCTTCTTTTTATTGTCCCTAGGCTGACTGTACCTCCAGTGTGCAAGGAGCTCCCTTCTCAGATGCGCAAACTTTCTTTCCTTTTTCGCTCTTCTCTAAGAACTTTGCGGTAAGCCATTGCCTTTGCAAATCATCCCATAAATTTTGAAGTAACCAGTCAGCTTCTTGTTCTTCTTTCTAGCTTCGGAGAAAGTATGCGACAATCGCTTGCGAGCTTTGTGATGAAAATTTGCAGCTACTTTCGCGCTATAGCGGTGTTCCCATACACACTTGCTCTGTATTTCAAAAGTTAAATATTAAACAAGAAATATCATAAATATAAATTATTAAACTGCTTAAAAGAACATTTATACCTTAAATTGATTGAAATTTGCTCCTTCAGCGAGAATAAAAAATCAGTCCAAGTCGCATAAGGGCCATGATAAAGCTTTCTGATGGCTTTGGTGATTATCCTCGCAGTCCTATTACTCGGGATGAACCTGCAATTTAACAATAAAAACACATTAATATCTTAGTATAAACTTTACAAAACAATAAACGCAAAAATAACAAATAACTCTTACCCATCACCCTTAGGGACTATGATAATCCTGCCATATTGATCATAATGCACCTCCTCATCATCATCAGCATAATCGTCTGAAGCATGTATATCAGAGGCATGTGTGGACGATGTAGTGGGGGTTAGAGCTACTACCTCGTAGGCGAAGGCCTGAAATAGATGGAGTCGCTGATGAAGATGGCTGCAATCCCTGTGACTGCGACATAGCTGGATGGACCTCAAGTGGCTGTAATACTGATGGCTGTGACCCGAGTGGCTGTGGTCCATGTGGCTGTGACATGGATGGATGCGATCCATCCGATGCAGATGGCTGCGATCCACGTGGTCGTGAGGCAGTTGAACTATATGTCGAACGTATAGTCCTATGGCCCTATGATGAAAGACCTAGTGTCTGCATGAAGGTGTAGGGATCGTGATGCTGTGGCAGCTCAGTATAGCCGTGTGGTGGAGGATAAGACATAGGCATCTCTGTAGAGGGTGGAAAAGAGGGAGTATTATTAACTACCATCCTCTTTTTCTTCCTAGCCTTTTCTCGACCCTGAGAACCAGTAGGGTCATTGTTACTTTGACCCTTGCCTGCCATCTGCATAATATAATACATATTTAGATTGAAACATATAAGAGACTAGCTATAAAACAAGAGTTATTTAAAAAACCAACTTTTTAAAGCTCATCGACGTATTGTTCCTCGTCCGAGAATTCTTCGTCCTCACTTGTTTGAGCTTCATCAGTTGATTCTTCGTCCTCATTTTCTATAATTTTTACTTCATTTATATCAACTTCTTCCAATATGTGTTCAGGATGTTCCAGATCATTTTCTAGCTGATCGTCCACTATTTGGTGAACACCGGAGATATCGTTTTGATATGCAACATCTAATACATTCTCCACTTCCACCCTACCTACATGCTTAGTTTTTATTACAACCCACCAATCGGACTTATTCCCCCGCAATGGATAAGGAGCATAATACACTTGCCTAACATTATGTGAAATTATGAAATGATCATAGCGATCATACTCCCTCGTATGATTAACCTCGATTATGTTGTATTGATTGTGTACTCTTGTACCTCTTGTTGGATTTGGGTCAAACCACTTGCATCTAAAGAGTATCAATTTCTTAAATGGCCAACCTGTATATTCTAGTTCTATTATTTCTTTGAGCACACTATAATAATCAATATCTCCAACTTGGTTTCCATCACCACCTTGAACCCACACTCCGCTGTTGTTGCTATTTTTATTTTTAGAGCAATCCACTGTATGGAACTTATAACCATTCACTAGTACTTAGACATTGTTGTGACCTCAAGCCCAGGTCCCCAAGATATATCTTTCAAAAATTAATTTACACCATTATTTGGATTATTTACCTACATAGTGTTAAAAAAATTCATAAGTTAGCATAACTTACAAACATTATTTACATACATAGTGTGAGAACATTATCAAGATAAATTTACAAATTGTTTGAGCCACATATCAAATCTCGTATATACAACATCATGGCCAAATTGACCCACGAAGTGACTGTGACACATCAAATATTTTTAGTAGTTGCATCAAGATGTAATCACAGTAAATTTTATATTTTGATAACTAATAAATCAATACTTACTTGAGAAATGGTACAACTTCGGGATAATTTAG